AAAAAAAAATTGTATTTCCAATACAATTTTACCTTTTGGGCTTTGTAATTATATACCCAAATCTGTAATTGTGTTACTTTGTTCAAGTATACACTCTTACTCCACTCCAGAAGAAAGTTTCTCATACTTAGAGCTTTATAATCATATAAAACAGTTAAAAAACATACATATGCACACCTTCTTCTGTTCTAGAAATATATGACATGAATATCAATAAAATATATTCCAACATAAAGATACTGTACAATAAAAATTACAATGAAAATTCTGTGAGGAAGTAGAATAGAAATACGAGTTTCAGAAATAAAAGATGAATAATGCTCTTTTTTATCTAAATAAGAGCTTGTTCTTATATCTCTTTTTAAGTGGACAATGTGGACATTCAGATTCCATTGACATACATATTTGAGAGTGATTTGACAGTTTTATTTAAATATTATTATATTTATAATTTCCCAGAAATCACATATTTTGCAGCTATTTTATTTAGAATAAGAAGTTCAAATGTCAAAAATATATACCAGGAAACATTTAGGTTTTAAATTTCTTCCAGTGGGGCGTTAAGCAAAGAACAGACCTTCCTTTTTTATGTAAAATGAGAAGGGTGGGGGAAGAGACTGTGATTCTTACCATTTTATCATCAGATTTTTTTTACTGTTTAGAACAAGTACAAATGTCCTACCAATACTGAACTCTGCTTCTTTCTTTCATCAGATATGGTCCGAATGGCTTTCACAAATGTTTCGACAAAAAGTTTTGAAGAATTTTTTAACCTCCACAGAACTACCAAGGTAAAACCAACTACGTGTTATAAAAAATAATAAATTAAGCCTGATACTAGAAAACAGATATCTTGGATTAAGACCATTTTAGCCTTGTTGTATATACTTAGAGAAGCAAATAATATAGGTCCCCCATGAGTTTTACTAATGATGATACTGGCGATGTCTAGTTAAAAGCAATAAAGGGAGAGAGAATGAACTAATGGGAACGAGAGCTCCACCGTGAGGGTGAGTGTAGAAGATGGTCACATCTAGAGAAAGTGGCCCCAAATCCAGAAACTCCTTGAGGAAGCTAAGTCTGAAAAAAGTATCTCGGAGAGTAAAGAAAGAGCCAAGAGAAAATGAGATGCTCCCTCTTCCCGCAGCCGTGGGGACGATTTGTGCCAAGAGACCAGACTCATTCGCTCTCAGTAATAGGAGTCTCCAGCAGAGATGGGGACACTGGCACTGTCATCCCGGAGCTGGAGGTGGGACGTGCCACTGCACCAGCCTCCCCCGTGAGATGGGACTGAAGCCGTCCTAGGAATGTCCGATGGCCTCAGGCAATGTTTAGGGCACACCCAGCGCTGTGCACGCTGCTGCCTGTGCTCGCCAGTCTGGGGTGCAGGTGCTCCATCAGCATCGCTCCTCCTTGGCTTTTTGGCAGCCATGGTCTCTAAACCCCAGGAACGGGGAGCATAGAAGCTGACTGGCTTACATTGTACCCCCCTCTTCTCCCTGTGTGCCCATGATGGGCACGACACTCCTCACCACCAGGCGTGGAGCCCCCAAAAGAGAAGAGAAAGCAGCTGAGTATGGGACTGAGGACAGAGTCCACTAGGTTCCCAGGCCCCAGGAGCGTCCTGGTCTCACGTGTGGCCCCCTGCGTGGGGGTCCCTCCCAGGGCCAGCAGAAGAAGAGAGTGCAGGCAGCCTGTGCACTCCACTAACCATGGTGTGAAAGCGATTCTAAAATGCACACGCAGAGGCATGTCCAATGCACGGATTTGCCCTAGGAGGACAGAAAGCTGGAGAAAGGCAGGCTTCTGGGGACGGAGCCCCTCGGGTCTTCTGTTCCCACTGGGCAACCAGACGTGTACCGGCTTTTCCAGCTTGGGGATTTGCTTCTGAAGGGAAATCGAGCTGTGCTTCTCTTTTACCATAGTCCAAAATCGAAGATATCAGAATAGAAAAAGAAAAAGAAGCAGAGAAGTCGATCCGACTTCACTTCCAGATGGAGCAGATTGTCTACTGCCAGGACCAGGCCTACCGGGGCGCGCTGCAGAGGGTCCGCGAGGAGGACATGGAGGAAGAAAAGAAAAGCAAGAAATTCGGCAGTGTGAACCTCCAGAAACTTTCAGAGCTCTCTCAAGAGTCTTCCATGGCTGAGATCTTCCAGCACCTGATGGCCTACCACCAGGTGAGTCCGCCAGGGCCTCGCAGGGGCGGGTGGCGGGTTGTGTTGTTACTTTCCCTTCCGTACGTCCCTCTCTCCTCAGTCTCTTCTCTCCGTAGTTGACCATCAGTCACCTCCGCTGGTCAGCTCTCCATTAGCCTCCATAGAAGCAGCTCAACCTCCCTAGAAGAGGTTGTGGCCTAAAGCCATTAGCGTCGGCATTTGACTGGCTGTGTGGCCCTGGCCAAGTTACTTAAGTTACTTACTCTCTGAGCCTTGGCTTTCTTCTCTGTCAAATGTTGTCTCCTCCTCAGACTTTAGTGGATAGTCCATGAGATGGGTGTGGCTAAATTCCTTAGACACTGCTGGAATGCGCAGGCAGCTCACCAAGGGGAGGCTGCAGACTGTGCTCTGACTGACACTGTGCATGGCAGATAACGTGACAGTGACATCTGGTTCACCATTGGGCAGGAGGCAGTGAGTACAGGTACAGCCCAGGAGAGCCCCTGTGCGCACCAGGGCACTCTATGGAGGCTTTAAGACAGTGCTCTCACTCTGCATGCACACGCCTCCTGGGCATCGTGTTAGAATCAGTGCTGATTGCAGGTCTGGGTGGGGCCCGGACTCACAGAAGATGGCCCAGCCCACACTGCTGCTGGAGAGAGACCGCACTGTCTAAGGCAGACTCTGCCTCCTGCAGACACTGGGAGGGGTGCACACTGAGTGCAGCCAGGTAGCCGTGAGACAGCTGAGCTCAACACCATTCTGCTGCTCACATCGCCTCTTAGAATGAGCAGGTAAGGCACACAGGTGCACAAAGTCCACAAGGTAGAGTGAGCAACAGCAGAAAGTGAGTCTCCAACCAAGCCCACCAGACCCGAGTGGCTCGTCCCGGAAGCCGGCCCTTTCTGTCCTCCCAGGGCAAATCCATGCATTGGACAGCCCCGTGTGTGCCTCTTTAGAATCGCTTTCACACCACTGTTAGGGAGTGCGCAGGCTGCCTGCACCCTCTTCTGCTGACTCTGGGAAGGGTTGACTTCAATTCACAGGGGGCACCTCATTCTTTATGTGACGGCTGCCAAGTGCACCATCTCACAGACAGCATTTGAGCCAGTCCCCTGTTATAATGGCTCTGTATGTTAATATTTATAACATATATTTTGCCATACTGGGCACAGTTCTTTTCTGGCCTCTGTGCTGAAGCAGGGGTGCTGACCTGAATAGCCTTGTTGGTACATCAGGTATCTGGAAACGTAAATTGGTAGAGTGGAAATTCCCATGTCTCGGCACCAGGGGAGCAGAACATAGGGCGTATGTATGTATGTATGTAAAGAGATATATTCCAAGGAACTGGTGTGGGGCTATGGGGCTGGCGGGGCCCAAATCCCAGCACCTGGAGTCCACTGGCTGGATTTCTCCTAGCTCAGGAAAAACTCCTTTTTGTCCTCAAGGTCTTTCAGCTGACGGGATGAAAAACACCACATTTTGTCATTTTCCCTGTGACTCTGTCCATGGTGGGTTTAGACTGTGTTGAAGTTTTCCAGACCTGTGGGTCAGATTATGTAGTTGTTTCTTTTGGGCTTTTATATTTTTTAGTCACACCTGAAAAGGACTTTGCCTTTCTGAGATCATAAACAGCTGCATGATAGTTCCTTCAAGTAATTTATTATTTTAAGTTTTATATTGTACCCGTGATCCATTTGGAATGATCAGATGACAAGAATGAGGCGGGACCAGATGGCTCAGCCCTGGGCCCGGCACCATCCATCAAGGGCCGTCTTGTCCCCACGGCAGCGACACGCCCCGTCATGCACTCCCTTCCCTTCTGCCAGCTGACCTTTGTCTAGACCCATCTCCTGGTCTGCTGGGTCTCTGTTCTTGATCAGTATCAATGTGGTCACGCTATATATACAGTTATGTATAAACTCTATACAGTGCTTCTCTACCCTGCACAGCCAGCGTGGCCATATGGCCCCCACATCTTTTCTTCCTTGATTTTTTATCTGGCTAAAATATTTATCACATAGATTTTGCCATCTTAACTAGTTTTAGATGTTCAGTTCAGAGGCATCAGGTGCCTTCAAGCTGTCACGGAACCATCCCCACCATCCATCTCCAGAACGTTTTTCCCCCAGACTGATACTCTGTCCCCATGAAATACTAACTTCTCAGCCCTCTGCAGCCCCTGGCACCCACCTTTCCACTCTTGGCCTCTGTGGAGTTTACTCCCCTCAGGAACTCACCTGAGCAGAGTCACACAGTGTCGGTCACTTTTGACCAGCTTACTTCACTCAGCATGATGTCTTCGGCTTCATCCTCCTTGTAGCACGAATGGGGCAGAGTCCTGATCCTCTTTAAGGCAGAATAATAATCTGTTGAGATGTTTACCACACTGTTTACATCCACGGACACACATGGATTTTCAGCTTTTGGCTGTCGTGAATAGAGCTGCTATGAAGATGGGCATCCACGTGTCTGGGCCCCCACTTCTTTTCATGTAGAAGTTTTCCGCGTATTTTTATTTTAGAATTAGCTTACCCAGTTTCTCCTGAACAGAGAGGACCTGGTGTGTTCACTGGGGCTGCACTCACAGCACACATCTCTGCAGAGAACGTGGAAATCTTTCTGACACCAAGGCTCCTGTCCATGGGCATTCTGGGTCTCTCCATTTTCAAGACTTCCTTTTGGGGGTAGGGTTTCAGGAGTGTATCAAAGTTTTCTTTGTGTAGGCAGTGCACATCTCTGGGGTTTATGCCTATATATTTT